ATTTCATTAATTATTACGTCTCGTTCTTGATGGTGATTTGTATCAAAATATTTTGTTTGCATCATTTGAAATAAGGAAAAAATATTTTTCCCACTATTTATTTATTTATTAATAGTATGATGAAAAATAAGTTGTTTTACCCCATTTTAATGAATTTTTGGACACAAAACTTTTATCAAATAAAAAACACTAATGGAAAGTTTGATGATAAGAATGATATGAAAAATCAACAATATTTATGATGACGGTATAAAATTGACAACAATTACAATGATACAAGGTAATATTTGATCATCGTAAAACCCATCGACCAATTTATTTGTTCACGTGTGGGTTCCGTGACGATTTATGCAACAGAAATATATATATTTACAAAAATATTATCTATTGCCACACTTGAGAAGTTGGTAAACAAGATATACTTATGCTAAAATAAATACACTTCGTACTTTTTTTTCTTGATCGAGGTTTGGATCGAAATGCAAAATGACCAGCAATATAGAGTAAAGATGGAAACAGAATTATTAGTGGATAGAAATGATGGTTTGCGCTATCAAATTATAATTAAGGAAGAATATGTCAAAAAATAAAATAAAAGGTATGGATGTTTTTTCAAATAATAATGATAATTAAGGGAGAAAATGCCAACAAAATAAAAGGTAGGGATGTTTTTTCGTAATAATAGTGAAATGTAGGGACATTATGTGCTAATTACCTTTTTAGTAATTTATTTGGGACTCATTTGCTCTTTTCAAAAAAATTGGGACTATATTTGCAATTAGTTTTTTTTGTTTTATTTAAAGAAAATGGTATTGTCGTCATTTTACAATTTTTAATTGAGAAAATGGATGAAAATGAAAATATCAAAAAATAAAAGGTATGAACGTTTTTCACAATAATAGTGAAAGGTGGGGACGTTATGTGCTAATTACCCTTTTGAAATATTTATGAACTTTTATAGCATGTTTGAATCCCCCTTTTTTTTTAAATGCATTTTAGAATAGTGATGTGATTGAAAATATTTCATTAAAAAATAAGAATTTTTTTTTGAATTTGCATGTAATATTATTTTATTGAAAAATGTGTATTTAAAAATAAGAGAGAAGGTATATTTTGAAAATAATAAGACCAAACAAGGCTAATAAATATGAACTGAAAATGAGAAGTTAGACGGCTGGCAATCCAAGTCCAACCCACCCAAGTAAAGCAGTCATCATCCCCAAGACGGCTGGCATTTGTTTTTCATGACCCCCTAATTCCTCAACTTCCTCCGTTTTATTGAGTGCATAGCCCAAGTGCCTAAATGAACATAAAAACGAACCCTAAATCTTCATTGCATATGTTAATTAATATTTAATTTCAAATTTCTTAGCTTTAATACTATAAGTGTAAGTGTTACACCATAAATCTAATCGATTTGGATATATAACATTTTTAATATATAATTGATACATGGATAATTATATTGTCACTACAAATATTATTTATTACACCACATTATAACTATACCTCAAATAAATTATATTTTTAATAAATGCACCACATTAATTTTACAATTATAGTCCTAATTAAATTAAAACTTAAAATATTATGGTGTTCATCCCTTCTCAATTTTACATTTCTTCCATTCTCCCACCCCATCTCATCGGCATTCAAACCTTGCCCATGGAAAAAAAAAAAAATTTCTTTTCCACCCACCACCACCAATTAGTCTCGAATCCCCCATTAATCATGCTTAGAAAAGTCAAAAACTTCTCACACCCCACCCGTAAATGCTCATTTCTAATTCTATCAAATGAAATACCAACCCGACCCACTATAAGCACCCCTCCACCACCCTCACCCTATTTCTAATTCTGCCCACACATATTTACTCCACCCTATCCATATCTACAACGAGTTAATTTTATTAATTACTTGCAATCATCAAATTTTACATACATCACAAATCAATACAAAAAATAAACAATCCACCATTAAGTGTGGTGAGATTTCTTACTTGTGAAGTAAATAGTTGATCTCACAAGTTTAAGTGTGGTGATACTTAAATGAACACGTGAATGTTTTGAGAACAAATTATTGGAGACCCGCTAGAGAGATTCCACGTAGAAAACTGTGTGAGTGTCGTGATTAATATCTAATGTTTGGTAGTAAAATAGGTTCTTTGTTTTGAGGAAATCATAGTGCTTTATATGGGGACAATTATACTTTGGTGATATTGGATGTTGCTCTTTCAAGAGTTGTTAATATAGCATCGTTCTGGTATGTAAAAAACCATATAATAGTTGTGACTGATCAATAGAAGATTCGCTACTCTTAAATAGTAAGAGATTATCATCTACACATCATTTAGTTAAGTTGATAACGAAATCCTTGATCAATGTGTACTCATAAGTCGAAAGAGTTTTCAACTTACATTAACTTAATAGTGGGATGAAAGATATGATCGATAATTGAGATTGACATACATTCATATCTCGTAATTGATCGGATCATATTGATGAAGGGATTATAGTTTCACGGTAAACGAACAAATTTGATTTTGTCATACCACGTGACATTTTTCATCACATGTATTGCCCGACACATTGTTAGATGTCAATTTAGGACGACAAATGTGAATTGATGATAAATTAAAAAGGGGTATTATAATTTATCAATTTTGATTAAATCGAAATAATAATTCATGTCATTATGTATCGTAATCGGGAACATAGTAGGTCGCACATAAAAGGGGAATTAGAAGAATGAAATATACTAATTAGTTAATTGACAAATATTTGACAATTAATTAATTTGTCAGTTAATTAATTGGGTTACTTATTAACGGGGCCAATTAATTCAGATTAATTAATGGACCTTGTTTACTTACTTAGATTAATTAAACATTTGACCTGTTAAGTTCAAGTGTCGGGCTAAGTCCACTTGGATTTCTTCTAATAAGCTATTAGGGTTTGAGAAATTATAACATAACAATTGTTATCTTGCTAGCACAAGAAAACATAAACCTCAATTTTCTCATTCTTGTTCATTGTGTGGATTTTCATTGAAAATTGGACAATTAGACATATGTGGAGTGCATATTATGATTGTCCGTGTTCAAAATATGCAAATGAGTTTGGAAAGTTCAATGAAGATATAATTCCTATCATAGTTTCTATCTAAACGAAAAACAAATTCTTAGTGGGAATTGAAATCATTTTTATTTTCCGCTTTGCATGACTAAAATAAATTCCAAAGAATAAGCCGTATTCAATCCTACATACTAAATATGACATCAATGAATTAATGAAGTTTGCTTAGGTAACATTTTCTCTCAAAATAAGCTTAATGTGTAGTTAAAAATACAGAGAGTTTAACCATAAATAATCTCTTGGCCAACCGTCAAGTGGAAGATGCAATAAATACAAAATGGTACTATGCCATAATGTGATGAGCTTCTAGCTTCATGCATACGAATTGCAACTTGCAATCCAAACTAAGCATGAGTTATTATGATTAGCTCACCATTGTGGAATCGTAACTTTGTGTTTCGACCATAGTAGCACTGTAGCCCAATGCACAAGAAGTATGATGACTTAACGTCAACCACGTCATTTTAACTCATCTAACAATTTGTTCAGCATTCCAAACCCAAGAATGACAATTAAACTAGAGAGTTACTTCCAACAATACATATAGCAAAGAGTTAGAATTAGGCTAGCAAAAAATCGATGTTCATGATAAGCCAGGTCTAAAATATTGAAAAAAAAAAAAAAAACATTTTTATGATTATATCGGTACTCTTGGCAAAAGGGTGTAGGTGATCTTTCCCAAGAGCTCAAGTCGATGGGTCTTTGCACTTGAAACTGTAGTATATTTCAAAGGCTGAGCTGTTTGCCCATTATAATAATACGTGAAAAATGTCACGAGGTAAATCGGTCCATACCCAATATAGGCATTATAACATTGAGATAACCTCCTATAAGAGGGGGTTATTTTCCTTATCCTCATTGATGAGAATTTGAAGAAAAACTTATCGATTCGACCTATTTCTCGCGTAACTAGAAGTCTTTTGAGAAATGAAAATATTAATTTTGGAATGAACTATGAATTGAAAATAAGTGAGAAAAAACACCTAAAGAAACCATAGATTTTGTATTACTTCATAATGTCCATGGATTATAAAAAGAATGATATTATTTATAAAATTACAAATATTAACATCATGGATTAAGTACTTTTAGGAAGTGGATTTTTAGAACACTAGTTCCCGCCCGTGCAGTGCACGGGTCAAGTGATTTCGATGGCAGTGTTAGTGTATTAAATGGGTTATTTTTTGTGAAGTAGAAGAAGATGTACAATATCGACTTCTATGTTCTTTATTTAAGATGCAATTTAAAAATAAAAAAAAAGTAAAGAGGCAAAATTATCCGTGATATAATTAAAAATGATGGTGCTAGTCCAAAATTCGCAAACTTCAGGTTTCCTTCATTGTGTATAAGAATATTGGAGCATGTATCTTTCGATGTCTCTATTTGTGAAGACTTGCCCGATCAGTTGTGTGGAGTACTTGCTTCGCACTGTAATAACTACAATTAAATGTTTTCATTAGACATTTAAAATTTGTTAAATTAGATAAGGAAAAATATATATAATGCAGTGATGAGGATGGTATTCAAAATTAGAAGAAACACTTTATATTTATATTATTATAAAGATTTACATCAAGTGAATATTTATATCAAGTCAACGTTTATATCAAAAACGTNTACATCAAGTGAATATTTATATCAAGTCAACGTTTATATCAAAAACGTTTACTACATCACAATAACATTTATATCCCAAAAAACTACATCTAAAAAACGTTTATATCCCAAAATACTAACTGGTTTTTGGATTAGTCATTCACTTGAGATTCGACTTAAGTCAACTTAAGCCATTGCACAACTTTAAGTCATTGCACATAGATACTTTACTATAACAAAATAATATAACAAAAAACATGGATATCTGTGTCATTGATTCCTAGCCACGACTTTCGGTTTCTTTGTAGTTTTTGGCTGTCCTTTTTTCTTTACTTCTGGTTCAATTGCGTTATCTGCTGCTTGGAATAAACTTCTCTTTGCATTTGCCTTGTCAATGTTTGTGGAAACTTCACTCGCTGCAATTTTGTCCTTACCTTTGCTGTTTTGTGAGTTATCTCCTGTTGTAATGTTGATGTCACTCATTTCAGATGGGTTCAAATCATCTAGTTTAGATGTGGAGTTTATGTGTGCTGCTGACACATTGAAGATAATTTCGTAGTGGTATTCTGGTGGATCTTGACGTTTCTGTGTGACTTTGAGGTAGAAGAGCGAAGGTTCTTTACATCCCTTCTTTATCACATTGTTGAGATGTGTGTCCGGATTCTGTGGTATGGAAATTGTATATATGTATTATGTGTGTGGCTTCATAAAGAAATTGTTATAAGACCTTTTTTTTACCTGGAGAAAATGATTCATTATGTCCTTGGCTTTTGCTTCCAATTGTGCTTCTGCAACTTCTCCTATTATACTTGCGTCTAATTCTCCGGACCTATCTTCCAACCGAATGAAAGCATTTGCTCTGTTTATTGTTTATTATAACGTTAGATGTCATCATGTGTTAGAACAAATTTAAATTCATGTGTAGAAATGCAATATACCTTGGCATTGCTTTCGCATGTTCATACTTGCAGAATCGGCATTTATAGGTTTCTTCAAAATCTACGTTTGATGTCTTTTTGCAATTGCTACATGCCATATACCAAAAATTTTGTTGCATTGAAACAATTTTCCACTGAGCTTTGACCCAATAAAACTTCTTCTGTATCAAAATAGGTATATGTATATTAGATTGGATTTTGAAGTTAAAATGTAAAAATCTGTGAAGTCTGTTCGAAATAATTTAAGGCTATGTGCAGTGTGTATACATATTTAAAGATGTATTCTAGAAAGTACCCCCAGATAGACTCCAAGTAAGTTAGCAAGTGATGTGAATTTGTCTTGAAGTGGAGGTAACAGTTTTGGAGGTGTCACAGCAACAAATGGTTTGTCACTTAGTTTGTCAAGTATTTCCTTGTTTGTTTTCACCCTGTAGAAAATGAAACACATATATGATAATAGTTTTTTTTATATCTAGGATGCAAGAATTGTAGAATTTGGAAGTGGAGTAGAAACCATTCTCTGTACTCCACCACTGCTAGTATGTCAGCATCAATAAAAATGGTACTATTGACTTTAGTTGAGAGTGTAATGCCTACAGAACAAATAGAATAAAAGTAAGAATTATTTTTTGCATTTTAACATAACAATAAAGTAAATAAAGTAAAGGTATATTGAATTTACCGTTGAAGGAAGAAACCTTGAGATTAGTAGCCCATATGAAAGGTTTTTTTGCAAGGTTTTCAATGATAGCAATACACTCTCTTTCAACAAAACTATCCCACAATGTAAGCATTACAGTTACGAAATTTGTGTCCATCAATATAACATCTTGAAGCCAGGCTTGTGTACCATAGTGGGTTTTGATAATTCTTTTTTGGCGAATGTCTATAGCAACACCTAGAACACATGTCCATCAATATAACATCTTGAAGACAGGCTTGTGTACCATAGTGGGTTTTGATAATTCTTTTTTGGCGAATGTCTATAGCAACACCTAGAACACCTGAAGTATTTGCTTATTATGTACTGTACATGATGCTAGTTGAATGTGAAGAAATGAAGTAGTAAAATATTGTTTATAAGGTTAGTTTATCTTACTTATGTTTTTGTTGTTATCCATGTAGTTTTGTAGTTTGTCGAATGGAGTCACTTCATATGTGGAGAAGAGGAAGTTCAGATTCTCCTTATTTACTTCTTCAAGTCTTGTTTTCCCTGTAATGATCAAAAGTTTTTCATCAATAGAATTTACAAATGTATTTCTATTATGTTTCACAGTAGCATTTGATAGGATGTATGTTTTGCCGAGTTGTAGTTGATCTTCGAGGGCTGCAATATTTGCATCATACATTATGGTTGTAACTATGTTTTTCTGTCGAAAGGTTAGAAGATATTAATAAGAAGCATATTATATGATTTGAAATGAGGAAGATATTATAGTTATTAATACGTACAAACCTCTAAATCCATTAGAAGAGGATTTTGGTATCGACTTGAGCTGTTATGAGCATGCTTAGGTGACTGTTTTCCTGCAATAATCACCTTTGCACACCAATTATTTTCTCCAATAGAAATTTCTGGGATGAGCTTAGGAGTAGTCATCTTGCATCTATTAACCACATTAAAAAGGAGTTGGTGCATAAGTAGTTGGACTTTTCACATAAAAAAGGAATTGGAGTATAAATAGTTGGAGTTCTTATTGTGAAAAATGTAAGAACATTGACAAAGTAAAATATGGAGATGGAATTAACATATAACAGATATAAGAACTTACCAGATATAAGATAGCAATGTAGTTTTTGACGATTGTGATGTGTTTGTTGTTGAGATGTTTGAAAAGTGAAGAATAAGTTTTAGCTATTTATAGAGAATTTTGTGAGTATAGAATGAATATTTTAATTTATATTTAAGATAAGGATTGAGTTGAATGATGATAATAGTACATTCTGTAGTATGTGCTGTAAAAAAATAGCTGTCCACATATATGCTATAAAAAAATTTGTACATTTTTGTAATTTGCTCTAAGATATTTACTATAAAATATATATTTTTGTAAAGCAAATATTAGGAAGTACAATATAATTCTTTTTTATTAGTTCAGAGAATGGAATTAATTTGATGACGAAAATTATTATGTAATTAATTGTAATCTAATTTTATTATAGAAAAGTTTATAAAAGTATACAAAACTGCCAAATTTGGTGGTATTTATCAGAAAATGTGTGAAGACTAATTAATCACTGAATACTATGTTGGTTATTTGTATAGCGTTTTGAATGGATATGATAGTGTAGATAGGAATTATATAACATCAATGTTTTCCTAATTTTGAATTTTAGGAGTGTTTATCTGAATGGCGAATGAAAATATTGAGTGAGGTATAGTTATGGTAGTAACGACGTTGGTAACAATGTTTTTTGAAAATGTACTTACCTCTCCAACAAAAACCAGCAGCTCTTACATCAGATACGCCTTTGCTTTTCAAAGCGGAAATTACTGCCTTAACATCCTCACACCCTTTCTCCTAAAAGAACAAAATCAAAGTGATGCACAAATAAATACAAGAACGCTAACCCTTTTTCGTTTAGATCATGCTAAAGAGAAAAATGTTGATTGTGCACACTGCATAGAGAATGAACTCATAATCCATGACTGTGGCTCATATCAGAATGAGTATTAATGTTTGAGGAAATATACCATGAGACAGTGTCTTGAAGGGTAACAGTCTTTGCAAGATTTGCAAACATGAGTGAAGGAGTGATGATTATAAACACAATCTGCAATGCCACAATATTTCTGAAGTACATTAATCATAATCCATGACTGTGGCTCATATCAAAATGAGTATTAATGTTTGAGGAAATATACCATGAGACAGTGGCTTGAAGGGTAACAGTCTTTGCAAAATTTGCAAACATGAGTGAAGGAGTGAAAATTATAAACACAATCTGCAATGCCACAATATTTCCAAAGTACATTAACATCAGACGAAATATATAAGCTGTGGTATCCCATCCCAGTTTGATTTATCATTCATATTTAACTTACTTTGTTCAAAGACCTTCAAGCATCCACAGGCAGAAGGTTGAGATAATCAGAAGCCATTAAAACTCCTAATGAACTTATTAAGAGAACCTGCAGTATTGGCATCGACGCCACCTCAAATAGGGTCCAGAATCCCATTTTTCTTCCTTCTTTTCTTCCTCTTCTCAACTAACAGGATCAGGATGGATCGCCATAATAGAAATTGGGAACCACTACTAAGATCCCAGAAGCTACAACTTTGTCTGCAAGCTTCCTAGATAACAAATCAGTTCACAAAGATAACAACTGGTAAATTCAATTACTATAAATGCCAATAGAATACTTCTATCTAACAAAACAATCCTAAACCTTCATTTTTATCTAATTCTAATTGTAATATTCCAGCATTGAATTTAATCCACCCAAGTTTCCCATTCGAACATAACAATAATCCCAATAAACTAGATGACAAAGTATAAAGATACGAGACTTCCAATCAGCACAACAATTTAACAAAACAAAAACACATCAGACCGAAAAACAGCCAAACAATCACACAAACTCGGTCAATGAGCTAAATAAATGCTCAAATTCCTCAATGAGAACCAAAATTGATACGTTATTTAGCAAGCCCACTATAGTTTCCGTTTATTACAATATTCATAGATGATAAATAACAAACAAAAATTTACATACCTCCTAAGCCAATTGAGAAAAGCTTCCCATATACCCATTTCTTAATCGCAAGCACTCGAAAATGAGATAGATCACTTCTCTCAATTGACCTTTTTCAAAAACAAAAAATCCCCTTCTCGCCACTCACTGCTGTGTATTAATTGATGATTACAGATTCTTATCGAATGTAGGTGGAAAGGACCAGGAAAAGACGACTTATTGTCTCCACGCCGTTTCCCATGCGTCGTTCCATTAGTCGTCGCCAGTTTTGTGTTTATTGGTTGGTCGTTTGGTGGAGAATGTACGAAAGGCAGAGGCAGGGTTCCGACGGTTTAGTCCGCCATTGGTTGCCGAAAAATGGACCCACATGTGAGGCGGCGGACTGGGCAAGGATGAGGGCGTGAATAAGGGTAAAGTTTGGCTAATTTAAGGTTGTATCCTCCCGTGTATAATTTAAAAGACCACGAAAGTTTTTGCAACGTTTAATAAACATTGTAGAAAGTGACTTTTCGCAACATTTAATAAACGTTGCGAAATGTCTCACTTTTCCCAACGTTTGTCAAACGTTGCGAAAAGTTCGCAACATTTATTAAATGTTGCAAAAAGCCACTTTCTACAACGTTTGAAAAACGTTGCAAAAAAAACCTTTTGCAACGTTTGTCAAACGTTGCGAAAAGTGAGACGTTCCGCAACACTCAATAAACGTTGCAAAAAGGGTTCTATCGCAATATTTTTCTATAAATCGTTGGTAAAACTCATTTATACTAGCCAATGGCAACATTCACTTACTAAAATGTTGCCAAAAGACCCTTTTAGCAACATTTATCGACAGATGTTGCATTTTTAGTGTTGCGAATGACTAATGTTGTTGTAGTGTTATTTTGTGCAATTGTATAATACGTTTGATGTAATGCATACATGATATTGAATTGCAATTCCTGTGTGACATAGCTTGCCATCCAGTAGAGTGAAAAAGAATTCCTTAGATAATAAAACTTTAATGTGAAGGGAAATCACACATGTACAAAACTTAATGAAAAAATTGGGAAATATAAATGAGTAACATGCATCGAGTAGCAATTGTAGCTTGTCTACAAACCATGCAGTTATTCCCAATCATAGCACAATGTGAACTATCTGGAAAGCCAAGCATGTCAAATGGTTTAAATTTATGAGTAAAAAATAGGCTAGGCAGTAAAATCACACGTGACTAAATTATACTTCTTAGAGTAATATATCCAGTTATAGTATTTTACTTATTGCAAAGTGATAAGCGAAAGCATATACAGTTACATTTTGAAAAAAGTAATAAAGTGGTAATAGCATTATGAAAGAATTGAAAGAAATAAAAAATATTACTTTTTTTGATCTTCTAGGATGCTAGTAGGCTTAGATCCTACACAGTTTTTTCACTCATAGGTCATAAAAAAAATTAGGAATGAAATAGGACTAAAAATATGAAATAACAAAAATTTGTTGGCAATGTACCATAAGCGATGAAAAGTTGAAAATTTGTTGGCATAGTTAAGTTTTCACAAGTGTAGTACAGGATTTTCAAAAATTTGACCTGGCAATTCTTTAAGTAAGACAGATGAAAAAAAATGAATTTAGGATATGCCACATCATTTGTTTTGAATTCCTATATAGTTTCCTGTATCAATATTCTTAATTTTTGACGAAATTGTTATTTTTATTAGGGTGCTGAACGCATGATCTTAACACGGCACACAACGAAACAAAAAAATCCAATTTGACATAAAAAATAGGATATGTTCTACAAATTTGAAAAGATAGATCCGATTGGGGTTGGTCAGGGCTTTATGAATATGAAATGGTACAGCCAAGTAATAAGCATGTTGCGAGAATTATAGATATTCTTTTTACTTACTAAGAATTTATTTAATAGAAATGCATTTTTTGAAAGCTGTACTGAATAGTATAATAGACAATATTTTAGATACATGGTACTAAGTATTTAAGTGATAGTAACTTAAAATGGTCATCATTTGAAACCTCAGGTGGTTCATGGTGGTAAATGCACGCAAAATAAGAAATAGAATAAAAAGTATAATAATATGGACTAAAAAATAAAATGGGTTTCCAATCATAACAACTGTACTATATATATTTATTAATGATTATTAATACATACAGGAATATATACCTGGTAATCTCGACTTTGAATTACAGCGGTGTGCGGGTGCGAAGAAGCAAAGCCGTTGGTGGTATAGCTAGCACGAACATTGGTGGTATAGCTAGTACGACAAATAATGTCCATGGTTTGTAGGTTTTCTTGTTTACTATAAGAACAAATATAGGTTCATCAGTTCAAATTATTTCTTTTTCTGTTTCTTGATCTGCTAATAGGTCGAACAAATATAGGACGTTCATCAATTGAAATTATTTCCGTTTTTGTTTCTTCATCTGCAAATAGGTTGAAATTCTTATGTTGGTGAGTTTATAGCTAAAAATTCACAGATGAAGTACAATCTTCCAAAGCCAAGATTAGCCGATGGAGAAACTCCATTTGGCTTTCTTGGTTTTGCAGTCAATATGATTTCAATTGATAGTGTACACTTTGGAATAGCCTAAGAAAGACACTATTCTATAACCTTTTCTCAAATTTGCAAGCATATAAATTAAGAGAAGACATGGTGAAACCCTTCTTTGTATAACTAATGGAGCTATACCTCTTCATGATGGGATGGTAAGAAGATCTGGGGTGTTCTCCTGAGGCAATAGGTAAGAAGTGTAATTTTAATGCAGTGGTTGTCGATATCTTGCTAAAACATGATACAATCAAAACATATCTTTAGTTATAATTTATTTATTGAGATAGACTGACAACTTTGTCTTTCAATTTCATTCTGATGAGTAATTACAGGTTTATTTGTACATATCACAAATAATTGTCAATGTTGAATTAGAAATAGTAATTTTGTTGAATATAAATTTACGTTCAGTATTTTTGATTTAAGCGATTTATTGATGTGGAAATCCGAAAAAGCTTTATATGAGAACTATTTTGAAACAGAAAAGAAAATGAAGGAGACAAAATGAAGGACGGAAAGAATGTAGGAAGATATGCAGAGGGAGAAGGCATTGTTGGAACTGTAAAGTTGAACTATGAAATAAAGAAATAAAAATTTGTCCACTTCCTTGGTTAAAGCTTACCATATACTGCTTAGATAATGGCTCAAACATATTTGTTAATAGTCTATAGTTTTCCTGCCTCAGAGCTTTTGACAATTAATATCAAGCAAACAGTAAAAGTCAAATTGCAAATCTTTTTTAAAAACACTTTTATAATGGATTTTAACAGCTTCATAATTTGTATGGTTTTGTTGTGTAGTTGAACCTTTATACAGCTTATTTGCAAGAAGTTGTACTCAAACTGTAGCAGCTGTTACTTAGGAATACTTCTTTTGTACTGTTTATAGTCAGTTTACCATGTATGTCTAGATTTTCTTGAGTTAAAAGTTAGGTTACGGTTTAGTCTATAGAATGCATCTATGCGTGGGAGCATATTTTCCATTTTTTGAGGAAATTTCTTATAGAGTACATAACCAAGAAAAGTACAATACATTTTGGGGTTGAGTCAACAGTTGTAATGCAATGGTAAATTGTATTTTCTCGGTTATTCATTTTGCATATTAATGAGGGTAGACGTGTATTGATGACATTAAAACATACGTATCACCTACGTATCACCTAGCCACTTTCTCGACTTCCTCTCTAGTTAAAAGATTGGTTATAAATTATGAATGATACCGATTGTCTAAGGAGAACACCCAAGCTCTTTTTATGATCCCATCATCACAAGATACGGCTCCATTAATTATATAAGAAAAGCCTTCGGCATGTCTTCTCCTAATTTATGCACTTGCAAAATTTGAGAAGAGGTTATAAAATAGTCTCTCTTAGCCATTCCCAGAATTTGAGATGTCGTGCAAATACACGCTATCAATTGAGATCATATTGATTGCAAAACCAAGAAAGCCGAATGGAGGTTTTTATCTATGAAATCACCAACATATGACTGACATAAAAATTGATATTGACATTAC